ATATATATATATATATATATATATATATATATCTAATATAAAAATGTATACATGTTTATAAAAATGTTTCACTCTGATTCTATTTCTGATTAAAGAAGTCCATAAATTGTTAAAAGTAAAAACAGAAAAAACTGTACATCCAAGTCAAAGTTAAATGCTCTGAAAAAAGTTAAATTTTAGCAAAACGGAAAAATTCTCTGGGATCTACATGGGAAATTTAATAATACGAATGTTTTAATGCCTTTAGTTTTCTGTAATATATAAGATTAAAAAAGTTATGCAAAAAAATATTTATATATATATATATAATAAAAAATATTTATATATATAGATATATAAAAAATATTTATATATATATTAAAAATATTTTAGATATAAATAATAATATATATTTATATAATGATAATAATAATAATTCCATAATATTAAAAAAAAAAACCTAAAAACTTTTCTTTAATAAATAACTATAAATTTAATCGACAACTAAAATCTATATCCTGCCAATCAATATTTCTGATTATTTCCAAATTTCTCCAGGACTATCCCTCATTGTGCAACCTGCCTTAAGCATGCCTATCAGTTTCTCATATTCTACAGATTAATGCCACTAAGCTAAGCCAACTACTTACCATCCAATCCCGGCGACTGTCACTCGCCTAATCCTCCCCTCGCCCACTCGCTGCACCTGCTCGCTGTGTTGCTCCGTCCCGTATCGCCCCTTGCAGATAACAGTCAGCCACGCCCACGAATTAATTGAAACCGCAGTCGCAAGTGCGAAGCGTCAGAGCTGTCAGAGCCAATTCCAAGCGCAGTCAAACATCTGCGACTCACATAAAAAAAGAAAACAAATAAAATAAAAGCCAAAGCAAAGTCCAAAAACGCATAAAAAATACCCAAAAAAAAAGTAGGAAAAACAAAACAATAGCAAAACCGAATCCTACACAAATCCCAGACAAATGTGCAGTGGTGAAAAATTCACCGATACAGATTCATGTAAATATGAATGGAAATGAATTACAAGCGAAATAAATGTACGAAAATTGCACGAAACAAAGCAAATCGTGCAATAAAAATCATAGTAAAAAGTGGAAAAAAAAGAACAGAGCCAAAGCGCTAACATGTTTGTCGACGGGTGGCTAGAGAGAGAGAGATGGAGAGAGAGAGCGGCAGTGTCGAGGGAGGGAGACTTTTGTGGCTTTTTTCGGTTGCCAGCGCAATGTTGACATGTTCCAAATGCAATTTTAACAGGATTTGCAAGAACACATTTGCACAAAGTGACAGAAAAACGCAGGCAACAACAACAACAACAGCAGCAACAGCAACAGCAACCGAAACAGCAACAACAGTTACAAAAAAAAACGTCAACCCCCATAGTCGTCGGATAGCAGCCGCAACTCCAGCCCGATCTCCGTTGTCAACCTTGTTGCGTGCGTGGCTGGCATAACTTGCGGCTTAAAGGGCTCAACTTGTCATGTCGCCTGCCGCTGATGTCCGCATTGATTTTCCACTTACGTCGACAACAGTCCCTCTCTCTCTCTCTCTCTCTCTCTCTCTAACTCTGACCCGGTCCAGTCCCAAAGTTGGGGTCTCGGGTCAGCTGCGGTCTTAACGCTTCATCAATATGCTTTTGCCGGGCGCCGCTAATTTTCGCTTTAGTCAACCATCGAGGCGAGTGCTACGTGCAGATTTATGTCCATCCCGGCTGGACAAAACAAGTGTCTGCCCCGCCTCAGACACTGCGAGAAAAGGAGATATAGAGAGTGAGTCCTCCCACCCGCACACCTACACTCTTGCTTATGCGTGTGTGTTTAGTGTTAATCCGTCAATGATAAGCTCAATTTGTTGTGGTCACTC